CGTTTAACGCTAAAACAACGCCACCAACTTTTTCGCATCAATTTTACTTTTCTCTTTTTAAAACCAATTCAAATGGACTATTTGGTGCGGTTTACATGCTGACGATATATTCGGTCAACATTTCTTTTGAAATGAAAAAGGAGCTGTCGGTATGGTGAATGGCGGGCGCTATTTAGCAATCTTCGAAAATTAATCAGTTAAACCTCGACGGCATTTCGTTTCAGTTGTTGGAATCGGCATAGGTTGTCATACATCGCGCTTAACAATCGATTTATTGCGAAATCAATGCGTCAAAAATTTTATTTCCAGAGGTAGTCCTGTTAACTGGCCCCTTCGTTCGTGCGATTTATTGCCTCTCAATTACTTTTTATGGGGCTATTTCAAGTCATTGTTTTATGCCGAAAAACCAGCAATATTTATAGTATACGGCAAAAAATAGTCACAAATTGGACTGATCGAATGGACCATGTAACTGGTAGTCGTGGCTGACATATGCCTAAAATCTGGTTCAAAAATAAATGTCATTACACTATCTACCAGTTTGTAATAAAAAAAAAATTCATTCCAATAATATTCTTATCTTGTATTATCATTTTAAGTTCTTATGCAGTAAAAAAACACACTATACTTTTCTAAATGTCGATAATTTAATCACTAAACATCTACTATTACAGATACAATAGGTGCGGTAGAAAGTGATTCCTGTCGACTCTGTCATGAGGAGAAGGAAACATCAGAACATGTTCTATGCAACTGCCCAGCGGTGGCAAGACGTAGACTCGATTACCTTGGTAGCGGGATTCTGGTCCCAAATCAAATAGGTAAAATTAAGCCCACTGCAATTATAAGATTTATAAATAGTCTAAAATTGTCCTAGTTGGGCCTATAGGCGCACAATAGATCTTTTAGGTCGGGGTGCACAAATAGCCTATTTTAAATAATAATAATTACAGATACAATTTTACAAAATTAGACTTGAAAATAATGTTGAAGTTTTTGCTTTAGCAATCTATTTTTCAGATAATTCTAAAAATTAATTTTTATACACATTTTTAAAACATTTTCAATTAAGAAGTAAATTCTGATGTTAATGTACTTTGAAACAAAAAACTCTGTTTATATTTAGACAAAAATTTTTATCTTATATACAACATAAATCGTGAACTCAAACTTTAATAGAAAAATTTGTAGGTTCAGTTAGATTAAAAAAAAATTATCACAATTTTTGAAATAACTTAAGCGTATTTACTGCCATTTATAGATAAACTGCATTGTGAAACATAATTCATTCAGTGAAAATCTATTGTATTAACATCAGTTTTCCACTCAGCCTTTAAGCTATAGAATCGAACAAAACTGTAAATAACTTCGCTGAAGGACCTTGAATTAACACATTTGCTTTGATGTGTTGAATGGTCCCTAATAGCTTTCATGTTTTCCAAATCTGTAATTTTTCACACTAATTGTCTGGTGGGCGTGGAAACTAACAACAGACAAACGACAGGTTGTTTGTTAATTAGTTGCATATTAGTACAAGCCACACTGGTCATTGCAATGCAATTTTTCTCTGTCAGTCGTTCAGTTACAAATTGTAGGAGAGCATGCAGTTTAATAGCTGCGGTTTCGATAATATTTGTGGTCATAGAATTTTCCAAGTAAACCTAATACATAGCATATATATAAATGAAGTTTTTGCCGAAAATCGATTACAAAACACGAAGGTTAAGAAAACTGGAACAACAACAACAACAACTGCAACAACAATTACAGTTAACAAATGCATTAAGGTATATAGTTTTTTATTGCAGAGTTAATATTTAATTATTAATAATATAATTAACCCAAACGTGCGTAAACTTTATCACTAATTAGTCACTTTTCTATCATACAATACAGTAAAGATGCAGCAAAGGCGGCAGCTGCACTATTGTCAACTGTTGAATCAACAACGTCTCCAAATCAGTATTTTAAGGAAAAACTAATTAAAAACATTTATTTAGAAAGTTCAAGTTATGTAGAAACCGCATTGCCAAGTAAGATTTGTGCTGCTTTAGCTTTAAGTATTCATGTCACAAAATCTCTAATTCAAAATATTTTCACATTTTCTCAGAAATTTTACCAAAATGCACTAATGAAGATCTTTTATATAATGGCAGTTTTCATGAAGCTGTGGGTAAAGGTAAGGCATCAACTAAAAGCATCACTTGTGTTATCAAAATTAATTTTCATTAAAATGATTGAAGTATTAAAAATTATATTAATTCTGAAAATGTTGCAAAATAAAAAATATAAATATATTATATATATAAAAAACTATATAACTAACGAAAATATATATTAGAAGAAGATTTACGAGTTAGAATACTGGTTATATTTAAAGATATAATGATGTGTGATATCAATGCTGACTTATATTTCCCTAGAGACGTACACCAACGCACGTTTTCTTTAACAAGTTAATAATAGGTGGATGTCACTCATAACATATGTAATATCGTTCTCGATTTAGCTATTATACAATTAGATCAGATAATGCACCTATGCACTTATACAATTCATACAATACATTAAACCAGAGATGCATAAAAATCAAAGATGTCAAAAAATGGTTGGGAACCACTGGTGTGTACAAACCAACGCAAATAAATCGCTTGAAAAGATGAAAAAGAAATCAATACACATTTTTTTTGTGATTGTCCAGTTTTAACTAATGGAAGGAACACGTTTTGCGGAATATAGTTTCTAGATAGTCTGTCGAACTCTCATTAGTAAGAATAATAGAACTGCGAAACATTACATTTTCGAATGAATGGATTCAGTAATGGATTCTCGCATGGAATGTGATATTAAAACGAAAAAGTATGGATATTTTGTGGGCCGAAAGGATACTGCCGATATGTGTCTGCAACCAAACTTTCTAAAATAACATCAATAAAGCAAAATGTTGAATTTTTGATTAAATAAGTTACTTGGGTTTGAACATTCATACAGCCCAGCGTATTTAAAAACTAGGACAAGTACGCTTGTTAATGAAGACTTGTGAGCGACTTTGACAGCTGACCAAGATTTAGGGCAAAATGACCAATATCACTCAAGATCAGTTCACTGGACATTTGACAGCTGCCCAAGACTTGTAGGTGACTTTATATTTTCCTTTGGGCAACTCTTGCCTTAATTATGCATACTAGTATCACAACCTCCACAAAGTTTTCGAGGTGAATTGTAGAATAAACGCATTCCAGATTGATAACATTATACTGATGACGATGCGGCAATATAGCCGCTTCTTCATCCTTTAGTATTTTCCGCGCTTATTTCAAAGTCAGCTTTCGTGACCAATGGATGTATTAAGCATTGTATAAAAGCCATATGTAAGTAATTGCAACATATTAAGTATTAAAATATAGTAACATTTATATTCTAAACCAGCTATTTTTAGTTGTTTTTCAAACTATATCATATTTATATCACATTCTTTTATTTTGACAGTTATTCTGATGTCGCAGTTTTTTGCTCTTATGCCAATAAAAGGCGTTACAGCCGCGAGTCCAAAGCAACTCTCATACTCTTGGAAAAACTTTCGCAACTGGTATTCCTTAGCATATGTGCTTCTCACTTTCATTGATTTGGGTTTTGTACTTTATAAAGTTCTTCATGGATCCATAACTTTTAATACAATAGGTAAGTCGGACTCCTTATTTCTGATTGAACATTGAAAATATGTAGTGTGTATAATATATATAAAAAATCCATTTATTTACATATAAGAGTTTTTAATATATTACATTATATTATTCAATAAGTTGGTGGAACCAATATAAAAACACCGAATTACTGATTTTAGCGTTGGTTTTGGAGCTGTGAGTTTAGGTGCTTTGTTCTCCTATAAACCAAGTTTAAAGCTAATCTACCAACAAAAGTTCGTTATTAAAAATGTTTATTTTTGGACTCTCCATTTCTCTCTCTCTTTCTAAAAAATCTGATTCACATATTTTCTCACCTTACTTATGTTGATAGACCCAAGCTTAATCGATAAGGATGATGTGCAGAAACCTTAAATCTTGTTTCTGTTGCATTGTGAGAGAATACGACAATCATTCTCAATACAATAATAATTCAATACAACAATACCTTAATATTATTCACTGTAGCTGCTGAAATACATAAAACTTCTGCTAGATAGATAGATACGTTATACGGGTGATTCCAAGGGATCCACTTGCGCCTACAGGTCCATTGTGTTACCGTATGTAAAAAAGTTAGAGGTTTTGAACCACGTAGAACCTTTGACAAAGCTTATAGTGCTATCCAAGTGATGGTTTTGCAGTTTACACAAATCCTCAAAAAGAAAGTGGTAAGGCGGTGATACTCTGCCGGACAAAAACAAAACAGATGAGAGGCACTTTCATCGCCTTGTCCACAACTGCGGCAGGCACGATTAAAAGGGAGATTCAATCTACTAGCAATGTTACTTAAACTGCAGTGACCTGTAAGTAAACGAAGCTTAAGACTGATATCTCTACGGGACATCTCAATGAGAGAGTTGGATTTTCCTTTATTAGATCGTGACTAAATTGCATAAAGCTCCTGCTTAGTCTCTGTCGATTAATCGATGTTCCTTTTATACCATATGCTGTATGTTTGTGGTAACTTTAGGTGTTGATGTAGTTTTTGGATGTTCTTTAGGTAGAACGTTCTACAATATTTTATGACCATTTATAAATAACTTAGTCCACTTACAAACTATTGTTGTTGAAGGAAAGGTTTCGGCTTACATAATTTCAAATGATTTTTGAATTGCAATTTGTAAATAAAGTATAATTAAATAGTAGTAAACAAAGTTTTAGTTTTGTTTTTATGAAATAAGATGATGTCTTGAAACAGTATTTCGGGTCA